TATTTGTGCAATATTTAAATTGTTTTTCTCGGTCATCTCTTTATTTAAGTTTTTGCTGAACGGTGGACCATTTTACTTGTGAACGGTAGCAGAAATGATGATTGTTACCTTGTGAGACCAGCACTGGAAGGCATGAGTTTTACTGAAGCAGCCCTGAGTTCATAAACTCTTATCTATCTATGAAAATGACATTACAAGTCTTTTTTAAGTATTCTTAAGATGAGTTTTTCTAAAATCTCACCAGTAAATTTTTAATAACAAAATAGCAGTGGCTTGCTATCTGAAGCATAATTGGTGGATATTTTTATGACAGCAAATCGCATATTTGTACTCGCAACATCTGAACGCTAGGATGATAATTCTCTATTCTTAGACAAATCGGGTTAGTCTGACTGTTTTACACTGTCATCTAAGCAGAGCGTGACACTCAGATGAGACTTTACAAATCACAGCTTCATCTTGTATATTGCTTGTGTTGTCTCATGAGCTGTCTAGAGACAGTAGCTCTGCTTGTAATTCTAAATGTGTTTAACTTCTAACACCAGAAGTCTGAACTATTCAGTATTTGTTCTATAGATTTGGATGCTGACTTCTAACAGTAGCTAAAATGGTTCAGAACAATGCAGAAAAATGATTTCTTTTTTATTAATTGCTGCTGTTCTCATGGTTCCTTGTATATAAGTAGCAAGGTTAAGACTTTTTGCAAAATTGTACTGTGACTTAATATAGTTCTCAAGCAAGTTTCCAGTGGCTGCAAAGTATTTCTCATGCCATTCCTTACGCAAGGTATTGGTCAAATAGCATCCACGTGGCTCGAAGTTTAGCCGCATTTTTGGTAATGTCAGAGGAAACGTTTGGATTGGACCCTTGGGAATGCTGAGAATCGACGGAAGAAGCTTGCCTCTTCCTCTCTGCATTCCAGACAGCAAATATTTTGCTACATCTCAGAGCTGTAGCAGTGATAGGTACTCGTGTGAAATACTCGGCGGTTGAAATTCTTTGCTTATCATACCATTGCCTCTACAGTGAGAAGGGTTTTTTCACATCTGTGCGCCTTGTAATTTGTGTGAGAGAATCTGTTCCTGCTTGTGTAGTCAGTGGCCTGAGAGAGGCAAAGGACGTGAATGATGAGAAAAGCTTCTGGAGAAAAGCCTCTCGGTAATACGACTTTTCTCTACGGGTGTTAGGGATTTATTCCTCATTGGGAGAACAGTTAGTCACTGAAGTTACACAGGCAAGGGTATGTTCGTGGAAAAGCCTAGTTCAGTTTGAGATTCAGGCAGTTATTCTGAGGATTTCAATAAAGCCATAGAGCAAGAACACTAAACTTTGTCTTAACTCCCCATCTGTCATAACATTAACTGCTTTAGTAAAATGAAAGAGTTTTCTTCTTTTTTCTTCCTTTTTTTTTTTTAATGGGGAGGTGGGAAGGAACTACTCTCTTACTGTCTTAGTTTCAGTTTTGGAAACCAAGGTGAAACCATTTTTCTTCTTAAAAACCTCAGAATTTAACACTTTGCCTTCATATTGAGGCATAGTTGGTTGCTATAAGTTTAAAAAACAAAACCCCCCCCCCCCAAAAAAAACCCCCATAAAAACCACACTATATAAAAGCACTTGCTGTTAGAATTATGATGAGCAAATGCTAGAAGTTCAGCCTTCTTTTAAAAAATGAAAACAACTTTTTATGTTGGTCAAAGATTAGAAATTCTATTCAGCTTTTATCTGCTGCAGCGAATCAAATTGCTGATTTTCACCATTTTTTTTTTTTTACAGTCTTGGTAGACAAATGCAGCACTCTTAAAAAAACAAAACAAAAAAAAACCCAACCCCAAAAACCTTTGAACTTTTATTTGGACCTACTGCTGCCAGTGCTTTGGAAGGTAACATTTCCTGTGTAACGTGTGAGTAGATGCTCGGTAAGGGCTGACGCAGGTGCCGTGTTGAGTAGGTCTCAGACTCTCTTGGGTTTTCAGGAAGAACTTATGTAAATGGGAAACTTTAACATGCAGTCAGCATTAACTGTTTTAGATATAAAAGCATTTGTCAGAGTATTAGATTTTTAAATTTTACAGAAGTAGATGGAAATATTTGTATTGACTATTTTTGGATTCTTTATTCCCATTTAGTGCAACCTTTACTTTTGCAGGAGCATCAGATGGCCTACTGTGTCTTAGTCATGAAAGCCTTAGAAAACAAAGTGGCTGTTGGAAGGTAACATGGACTTTAAAGTATTCTGGTTTGATCATCTTTGTTACAAATCTTGTACACTTGTTTTGAAGAAACATTAAGATTAGCATCTGCTCGGACACCTGAAGTTCATTGCTGTTGCTGAGATTGCCTGGAAAAGTAACATGCAAAATGAAAGGATTTAGAATACTAATGTCCACTTCTGTTTAAATTTATTATTTTAGAATATTCCTTCTGAAAGCAACTAATTTATACCTCATTTTCACTGCATATGCCAAGTATGAAGAAATCTATTTGCAGGCTTACTGAAAGCATACTGGTCAGAGGGGGCTTATTTGCCCGGTCTGTGGAAGGTGACGGGAGGGCCTCGGTTAACGCGGGTGGGTTTGGATGAGGTGTAGGCTACGCTGGTGCTTGCTTCTCTGGGCGTTGCGTTGCATCCTTTATCAGCATGGGAGATGGTGTTCAAAATCCGGTGTATCCATACATGAGAGAGAGGATGAGGATTAGTTCGATTGATTTTTTTTTTGTCCTGCTACAAGTTTGTTGCAATTTATGTCCGTATGTTTTACTAAGGGCTATAACGATCCTGAGTATGAAATGAAATGGGTTATTGCACGGTAAAATTGGAACCCTTGGTTTCTAGTTGTAAAATGTGTATAAACTGTAAAAAGCATGGGTCAGGGTAAAATAAAATTTTGCGCTAAGAGTGTGCTCTGGTTCTCTTTGAGAAAAGACTTAAAAATAGTTTTGGGGGGGGTGGGTGTGTACGGACCTAGTGGTATGAAAGGAAAATATCGCTGAAGTTAGAATATATCGGACGTAGTTTGAATTTAGAGTTACAAATGCCAGTTAAAAATCTCGTGGTGTCATGGGTATTTAGGTACAAGAGGCTGGTTTATTTATAAATGCACTGCAGTAATGGGATTAAAGATAATAAGAGATTTAGACTAATTTCCTTTATTCAAGTAGAAGGGCCTTCTGCTTCAGGGGCCCAGCGGATCAGCCGGCGCCCCCGCAGCCCTGCCCGCCGCCCCGTGTTCTCCCGCGGCTTTCCCGCCTCGGGCTGGGCCCTTCCCACCGGCGACCGGGCCCCCTTTCCCACCTGCAAACGAGGGGAGAAGAGGCCTCTCCCGTGGCGGACGGGTGCGAAGGACTCGAGCGCTAGCGCCTGCCGCCCCCGCGGCGCTTGTCGAAGCGGGAGCCGAGCGAAAACCGCGGACGGCGTTGCGGGTCGCCGATAAAGGCAGCGCAGGAGCGATGCCGTGTGCCCGACGGGCACCTCAAGCGAAGCGGGGGGATGAATTAACCTCTCCGCTCCGCTCCGCGAACGTTTCTGAA